TATTGAAAACGCCCACAAAAACTCGGTGAATCTCCCCTACTGGAACAAACCGGAAAAGACAAGGGACTTCCGCTATTCACATGTCTCACGTCTATCAAAACTGTCAACGCGCGAACCAACTCGCCTGGACTGCATGAATGAAAAAGCAAAACATTGCAGCGATGAACATTTATGTTTTAAAAACTCATCGGGATTCTAGGATTTTACACAGCAGGACAGCTAAAAAAACCTGGCAGATAATGTGAAGGAAACGAATTTTTAAGGGACAGCTTTCAAAATTACTGTGAATTTGGATTTTCGGTGCAGTTACAAAAGTAAGAACAACGGAGAAAAACTATTACCTCGGTCGCTTGTTATGAAGTTGTTTGAAGCCACAAGCTGGTTTTGCTGAACGAGAAAAGAAGCTATACTGCCGCCTCGATTGCTCTAGTGAATGGCTACATAGGCTGTATTTGTAGCTGGTTACTTGTGATTTATATTCTTGATGTCGGATAAACAAGCCGCAGTTATCTATCGGCGAGTGACTCGATCAGCGAATGGCTTCGCGATCATGAAGAAAAAACACCTGTCTTCTTTCGTAGCTGGTCAAGGTACTTTAGTTCCATGTATTTTCATGTGTTTTTCGACAAACTTTCAAACAAGCTTTTGTGGCTTTTTTGTTTGTTTTTGTCTTTTTTCTTTCGATGAAATTGCATTTCTAGTATTCTAAGAAATGAATTAAAACGATTTGCTTCGGGCGTCGTTCTATCCTTGGCAAAAAAAAATCTCAGCTAGCATACAATTTTAAACTGACGCGTACATCGACCATATATGGAGAGCATGGTGTCATAGCTCATATACCATAACGGCTAAGCCAATCAAAATGCTAGAATTGCATTATCCAATGATTCAGTTTTTAATAACATGTTATATAACATAACATTTACTATATGTTGTATAACATAACATAAAATAACATAACATATGTTATATAAGACAACATAACACATGTTATATAACATAACATATGTTATATAACATACCATAACATATGTTATATAACATAACATAGGTTATATAACATAACATATGTTATACAACACAACATAACATAACACATGGTATATAACACAACACATGTTATATAACATACCATACCAACATATGTTATGTCACATAACCTACGTCATATAACATATGTTGTACAACATAACATAACGTATGTTATATAACACAACATAACACATGTTATATAACATAACATATGTCAAATAACATAACATATGTTATATAACATAACATAACATATGTTATATAACATACCATAACATATGTCATATAACATATGTTGTATAACATAACATGTTATATAACATAACATATGTTACATAACATAACAATTAACATATGTTGTATAACATAACATAAACTAACATAACCTATGTTATATAACATAACCTATGTCATGTAACATATGTTGTATAACATAACATAACATGTGTCATATAACATATGTACATAACATAACACATGTTATATAACATAACATAACACATGTTATATAACATGACATAACATAACATATGTTGTATAACATAACATAACATATATCATACAACATATTTGGTATAACGTAACAAAATAACACATGTTATATAACACAACATAACATATGTGATATAACGTAACACAACACTTGTTTTATAACTAACATAACATATCTGATATAACATAACATTTAACACATGTTATATAACATAACATATATTATATAATAGACCATAACACATGTTATATGACATAACATAACATATTTGATATAACGTACCATCACATATGTTATATAACATAACATAACACATGTTATATAACATAACATAGGTTATATAACATAACATTTAACATATGTTATATATAACATAACATAACATAACATGTTGTATAACATAACATATGTACATAACATAACACATGTTATATAACATAACAGCATATGTTATATAACATATCATAACATATGTTATATAACAGAACATATGTTATATAACCCAACATAACACATGTTATATAACATGACACATGTTATAACGTGACATAACATAACATATGTTGTATAACAACATAAAATAAAATAACACATGTTATATAACACAACATAACATATGTGATATAACGTAACACAACACTTGTTTTATAACTAACATAACATATGTTATATAACATAACATAACATATGTCATATAACATAACATATGTTATATAACATACCATAACATACGTTGTATAACATAACATGTTATATAACATATATGTTATATAACATACCATAACACATGTTATATGACATAACTTAACATATGTGATATAACATACCATCACATATGTTATATAACATAACATAACACGTGTTATATAACATAACATGTGTCATATAACATATGTTATATAACATAATATTTGTTATATAACATAACATTTAACATATGTTGTATAACATAACATTTGTTATATAACATAACAT